GAGATTATCTGTCTAATAAAAATCCGGGACGGCAGACAGACGGACAGACGGACGGACAGACGGACAGACGGACAGACGTACAGACGGACAGACGGACAGACGGACAGACGGACAGACGGACAGACGGACAGACAGACGGAAATAGGAGACCTATTTCTTCGTCTTCTAGGGGTCATGAAAGATCGAGAAAACGTAAAAGTAGAGAGTCGGCCGACGGACTCGATTACAATACTTCCTTTGCTTACGCTCGGAAATTAAAAATCGAGATTTTTGCTAAAAATCCTCAAAAAAATTCAAGGAAGCACATGGTTCCGGATCAATGTTTTCGAAAAATGGATTGAAAATATATTTTTTTAAATTGTCGAATATCGTCAATTTTTCATTTTATCGTTTCTGAAAAAATTAACAGAATTTTCAAAGAAATGAAGCCGAAAATACCTTCTACAAGTCGAAATCTACAAGAAAATGTCTTTAAGTAATTTTCGAAAGGTGGTCGAAAAATAGTAAAAAAATATGTTTATTTAAATTTTTCTCAATTTTCGGAAAATTACTAGAATTTGGGAAGAAATGCAGCTGAAAATAACTTCGACAAGTTAAAATTTACAACCAAATGTCTTTGGGTAATTTTCAAAAGGTATCCGAAAAATAATAAAATAATTTTGTATAGAAAAATTAATTTCTATACAAAAACTGAGATTTTTTAATAAAAAGTTGCTTCTAAAGCCTCAACAGAAGTTCTGAAAAAGTTGTTTAAAATTCCACAAAAAGAAATCGTTATATAGGTGGATCTCGACGTACTGAGACGAAAAATATAGCATAAGTATTATGGTCCCGGATTAAGATTTTAAAAAAATTGGGTCTGAAACCAATTTTTAAGGCAGGAAGTATAACAAGATTGAAATTTTTGAAAAATTGAGAAATAGAAATATCAAAAAATCGAAAAACTAAGAAATTAAATCATCTATAATTTAAAAATAGAAAAATTAAAATATTGAAAAGTCGAAATATCCAAAAAACGAGAAATCTAAATTTCCAAAATTCAAACAAATTGAAATCTGAACAATCGAAAAATTGAAAATCTAAATTGTATTGGGCAAATTTAAAAATCTCAAATTTATAAATCCCAAATTCAATACTGAAACATTGAGAAAACAAAGAAAAATTGAAAACCCGAAAATAGAAAAAGCCCAAAACTGAAACATCCAGAAAGTAAAAAATCGAAAAATCGAAGCTAGAAATCTGGATAAATCCAGAAATCGGAATATCAAAAAATGGAAAATTTTAAAAATCTAATAAAATTCATAAATGCCAAATTGAATACTGAAAAATTGAAAAATCGAAAAAAAATTGAAAACCCAACAATCAAAAAAGTTCAAAACTGAAAAATCGTGAAGTCGTAAAGTCGAAAAGCCGAAAGACAAAAACTTTTTAAATCGAAAAATGAGAAAATGGAAAAAGTCAGAACCGAAAATTGAAAAAATCGAATGATCGGGACATCGAAACATCAAAAAAGGGAAAAATTCGAAAGACTGAAAATAGAGATTTCGAAGAATTGAAAAATCGAGAAATCGAAGCATCAAAAACTGAAAAAATTTAAACGTCAAAAATTTATAAATCCCAAATTTAATATTGAAAAATTGAAAACCCGAAAATCGAAAAAGCTCAAAATTGAAACATCGAAAAATTAAAAAATCCAGAAGTCGAAAAATCGAATTTAAAAAATTGAAAAAACCGAAAAATTGGAAAATCAAGAACTTTAGAAATCCAGAAATTGAGCAATCGTAAAATCGAAACCTCAAAATCTGGATAAATCGAGAAATTGGAACATCAAAAAATCGAAAAAAAAATTAAAAATCTGTAATTTGTAAATCCCAAATTGAGTATTGAAAAATTGAAAAATCTAAGAAAAATTGAAAACCCAAAAATCGAAAAAGCCCAAACTTGAAGCATCGAAAAATTGAAAAATCCAGAAATCGAAAAGTCGAAAAATCGAAGTTTAAAATTTTAAAAACCGAAAAATTGAAAATCAAAAACTTTAAAAATCGAAAAACTGAAAAATCAAGGAATTGAACAATCGAAAAATGGAAACCTCGAAATCTGGATAAATAGAAAAGTTGAAAATTTGGAAACTTCTAAAACTGAAATGACAAAATTGTGAAATGGAAAGATTGAAAAATTTAAGAACTGAAAAACTAAAAAAATCGAAAGACAAAAATTTTTTAAATCGAAAAACGGAAAAACGGAAGAAGTCAGAACCGAAAATTGAAAAAATCGAATGGTCGGGAAATCGAAACATCAAAAAAATTAAAAATTCGAAAGACTGAAAATAGAGATTTCGAAGAATAGAAAAACCGAAAAATCGAGAAATCGAAAAATTAAAATTTTAAAAATTGAAAAGTTAAAATATTGAAAAATTGAAAAATCGAGAAATCGAAGCATCAAAAATTGGAAAAATTTAAACATCAAAAATTTATGAATCCCAAGTTGAATATTGAAAAATTGAACAATCGAAGAAAAATTGAAAACCCGAAAATCGAAAAAACTCAAAATTGAAACATCGAAAAATTAAAAAATCTAGATATTGAAAAGTCGAAAAATCGAATTTTAAAATTTAAAAAACCGAAAAATCGAAAAATTGAAAATTCCAGAAATTGAACAATCGAAAAATCGAAACCTCAAAATCTGGATAGATCGAGAAATCGTAACATCAAAAAATCCAAAATTTGTAAGTAATACCAAACTGAATAATTTTAAAAATTGAAAAATGAAAATATTGAAAAACTGAATAATCGAAAAATTGAAAAATCGAGAACTCAAAAAGTCGAAAAACCGTAGTCGAAAAATCGAAAATTTAAAAATCCCAAGACTGAAATATCAAAAAACTGAAAAGTCCAAGAAAAATTGTAGGCTTGAATAACTGAAAAATCCTTAACTGAAACCTCGAAAAAATGAAAAATCGAGAAATTCAAAAGCCGAAAACTCTAAATATCAAAAACCCACAAATCGAAAAATTGAAAAAGTGAAACATGGAGAAATAAAAAAATTGTGATATCAAATCAGCCCAACATGAAAAATCGAAAAGTTGAAAGCTGAAAATTTGAAAATTTAAATCGAAACATCGAAATCTCGATAAATCGAGAAGTTGAAAAATCTAAGAACCGAAAAACTACAAAATCGAAAAACCAAAAATTTTTAAATCGAAAACCTGAAAAACGGAAAAATTCAAAACCGAAAATCGAAAAAATCGAAAGATCGGGAAATCGAATAACCAAAATTTTAAAAATTGAAACATTAAAATATCGAAAAACCGAAAAATCTAGAAATCGAAACATAAAAAATTCGAAAAATTTATGCATCTAAAATTTATAAATCCCAAATTGAATATTGAAAAATTGAACAAAAATTGAAAATCCTCAAATCGAAAAACTCCAAAATTGAAACATCGAAAAATTGAAAAATCCAGAAGGTGAAAAATCGAAAAATCGAAGTTGAAAATTGAAAAAACCGAAAAATTACAAAATCAAAACTATAAAAATAGAAAAATTGAAAAATCCAGAAACTTAACAATCGATACATCGAAACCTCAAAATCTGGATAAATTCAGAAATCCGAAAATTTCAAAAATCTAGTAGAGTTTATAAATCCCAAATTGAATATTGAAAAATTGAAAAATCAAAGAAAAAATGAAAACCCGAAAATCGAAAAAGCCCAACACCAAAAAATTGAAAAATCGAGACGTCGAAAAGTCGAAAAATAGAAGCCGAAAATTAAAAAAATTGAAAAATTAAAAATTGTAAATATAGAAAAATTGAAAAATAGAAAAATTAGAAAAACCCAACAATCTAAAATTGACAAGCCCAAGAGATTTAAAAATTCAAAAAATTGATGTAAATTTTAAAAGTCTAAAATTTTAAAAATTGAAAAATTAAACTATTGAAAAATTGAGGAATCGAAAAATAGAAAAATCGAGAAATCGATACATAAAAAGGTGGAAAAATTAAAAAATCTAAAATTTAAAAATCCCAAGACTGAAATATCGAAAATGAAAAATCCAAGAAAAATTGTAGACTTTAATAACTGAAAGATCCTAAACTGAAGCATCAAAGAAATGAAAAATCGAGAAAAAATGCCAAAAAGCCGTAGTTGAAAAATCGAAAATTTAAAAAATTGAAAAATTTAAGAGCCGAAATTTGAAGAATCGAAAAATTTTAAAATCGTAAAATTGAAATGTGGAAATTATAAAATGTTGTTATATAGTCTTGAGTTTTTTTTTTTAATTTGAATGCTTGAGCTAAATAACATTTACATTGTAAAAGTTACCATACATACAAAATTGGACGAAACTCGGTCTGGTAGATTCGGAAATTATCAGCAAATAAAACAGACAAACAGAAGGAAACGGGCGACTTATTTTTTCGTACTCTAGTGGTCATAAAAGGTCAAGAAGGAAAAGCGAAAACCGTGTTTGAAGGAAATACATAAAATTAAAATAAGTTATAAAAATGTACAAATAATGTTTTTTAAATTTGTTTTAAATTTGTTTATTACTAGTTGTTTTGCTTCCGTGACGTCAAACACTATAAACTTTACTGTTTTATTTTTTACACTGTTTATTTGCGACCTTGTTGTTTCTCAAATTTTTTATGGGTTGCGTTTGGTGCAACTAAACTGTTAAAAAAAATGTAAAAAATAAAAACCCATTAAATTTTTGTGTTACTGAGGGTTTAAATTAAAAAAATATATGATAATGAAGATAGTGCAAAAATAGTAATAAAAGTATATGAATAATATAATGAAACAGAAATGGCCAAAGTTGGCGCGTGCGTATTTTTATGCTTTATTTTATATTTACTTGAAAAACAAATTAAAAATCGACGAAATAAATAACTACCGACAGAAATCAGATACAATAAAATTAACAATTCTATTTAGGTACATAAAAATTGTAGCGTAGGTACTGAATATGCAGTACTTCGCTATATAAACCCCACCCGTGTCTAGGACAGTCCAATTTGACTCCAGTTTTAAAAAATGAATAAAGTACTTTTCTTCGTCGTAATTGCTGCAGCCGCATCGACCTGTTTGGTAAGTACTAAGTTTAATGTAATTTTTTTATTATTTGTATGTTACCTTTCATAGGCTGATCGCAGTGATACGGTGTACTCAGCATTGGAGAAAAGACACTGTGAAGAAAAAAGCTGGAAGTATGTCCAGCGGTACTTCAATGGTACTCTCGAAATCGATGGAACTTCTAAACTTAACACCCTTAAAGGCGATTTTTTCTTGTGTGAACACGGATATTTTATAGTGGAGCGTGCCAAATTTGTGTTCTTGCAGGATGACACAAACAACGTGTATTTCATATACAGTCTATGGCGCCGAGTTGTGTTCATTAGGAAACTATCTAGAAGAAATGTGTTTTTCGTGATAAGAGTTTGGATCATAAATCACTTTTCCTAACCACTAGAACGGAAAATGTAAAACTAAAGCCACTACTATACTTTTTAACTTCTTAGGATTATTAATGATAAATGATAATGATAAAAAAATATTAAAAATAAGTGGTTGTTCTACAAATAAAGACTTTTAAAATCAGCTACCGCTAACCAAAAAATTCACTTCTCCACAACCCCTCACCCTTTCTTCCCACTTCCTGACCTTAAGTATCGAAATATCGCCATCAGGGTGGCATCCCTGCCAGTGACAGACATCGTGGCGACCCTCTCTGCGGCCACACTTAAAATTGAATTACATTTATGGAGGGCGCCCTTCAGCCTGACGTAACTGTTGTTACCAGCATTGTGACGTATGTTTGGGTCCTCGAAAATTAATTACATCGGGCAAATGATTGTATCGCATTCGTGACCTACGGTGTTGCATGTTGCTGAGGAGCGTCGAGTGTAATCGAGCTGGAGAGTTGATGGAAAAAATAATTGGCCAAACGTCTGCTCGAAGGGTTTATTTCAAACGGTTAACACTGTCTGGGGAGGAGGTTGACTATGAACATGAGGAAAACGAAGAAGAACAAGTTGACGATTATGAGGCCCACGAGGACTTTGTCCCTGGTGGTGCTGATGCCGCGGATGGTGTTGATGGTGGAGCGGGAGGACAGGAAGGTGTCGGACATCTCTGGAGGTTCTTGAGGTGGAGAAGTTTAGTTTCGTCTGGAAGTTCTAGCTGTCAAACTAAAGTCACAGTGACAAAACGTTTGAAGTTAATTATATTGTGTTTACGTTTTTAGATCTGAGTAGGCCATTTGGATTTTGTGAAGGGTGTAATTTTTCAAAATTGGGTCAGTTCAGGTCAGGACAAAAAATGTAGTATGTTTATGCTTCCGGGACAAGATTTTTGCAATATTTTCTTTGGAATTCAAATTTTTTAAAACTTCTAAATATTGCCACATTTCATTTGGGCGATTTAAGAAAAATGGCATACATTTTTGAAGAAATGAAGCCGAAAATAACTTTTGGAGATTCAGATCTACAGAAAAAAAATTATGTGATTTTTGAGAGGTGGTCGAAAACAGGTCGGAAATTTCGTAAATGGGAAAAGAAAGTTGAAATTTCGAGCTTTTGGAAAAAACGGTACTAAAAATCAGCAAAAATTTTTACCTTGACGCGTTCATTTGAAAAATATAGTGTTTTTCCGGAGCAAATTTTTCGAAATTTTTAATTTGAAAATCCATGGTTCAAATACAAATCTAAAACCTCCCGTATTTTTCATGGATGATTCTGGATAAATGGTAGGAATTTTTCGCAAAATTGAGAAAAATAATTTCTGTAGGTCGAAATCGACAAAAAAATTGCTTGAGGTAATTTTCGAAAGTGGTCGAAAACCATGTCAAAAATTTCATAAGAGCAAAATTTTGAAAAATTAATTTTTGCAAAAATTGTCTAAAAATGGATAAAAATTCTGGAAAATGTCAAAATTTTGACACGCTGACTCCAAAAATATGGCATGTTGATGGTCACAAAGAACCATTTTCGAAAAAATCGCTACGAAATGCGAATTTTTGAAAATTTCAATAATCTCGTAATTTCAACGGTTGATTCTAGAAAAATGGTTGCAGGTATCAAAAAACCGAAGCCGGACTTGAGTTCTAGAGCTCGAAATCTACAAGAAAATGTATTTAGTTGAGTTTCGAAAATGTCAAAATTTTTGCGAAATTTGAAGAAGGGGGGACCACTAAAAAAAAATTCAATTTTAAAAAAGTTGTCTAAAAATTATGAAAAAATTCAGGGACGTAGATCTCGACACGCTGATTCCAAAAATATAGAATGTTGATGGTCACGAAGCAACATTTTCGAAAAAATCGCTACGAAATGCGAAATTTAGAAAATTTCAAAAATTTCGCAATTTCACCGGTCGATTCTGGAAAAACGGTTGCAGGTATCAAAAACCGAATACGGATTTGGGTTCTGGAGCTCGAAATCTACAAGAAAATGTATTTAGTTGAGTTTCGAAAATGTCAAAATTTTTGCGAAATTTGAAGAAGGGGGGACCATTAAAAAAATTTCAACTTTAAAAAGTTGTCTAAAAATTATGAAAAAATTCAGGGACGTAGATCTCGACACGCTGATTCCAAAAATATAGCATGTTGATGGTCACGTAGCAACATTTTCGAAAAAGTCGCTGCGAAATGCGAAATTTTGAAAATTTCAAAAATTTCGAAATTTTACCTGTCCATTCTGGAAAAACGGCTGCAGGTATCAAAAAACCGAAGATGGATTTGAGTTCTGGAGCTCGAAATCTACAAGAAAATGTATTTAGTTGAGTTTCGAAAATGTCAAAATTTTTGCGAAATTTGAAGAAAAATTTCAATTGTAAGAAAGTTGTATAAAAATTATGAAAAAATTCAGGGACATAGATCTCGACACGATGATTCCAAAAATATATCATGTTGATGATCACGAAGCAACATTTTCGAAAAATCGCTGCGAAATGCGAATCTTTGAAAATTTCAAAAATTTCGAAATTTCGACGCTCGATTCTGGAAAAACGGTTGCAGGTATCAAAAAACCGAAGCCGGCTTTGAGTTCTAGAGCTCGAAATCTACAAGAAAACGTGTTTAGTTGAGTTTCGAAAAAATCAAAATTTTTGCCAAATTTGAAGAAGGGGGGGACCATTAAAAAATTTCAAATTTAAAAAAGTTGTCTAAAAATTATGAAAAAATTCAGGGACGTAGATCTCGACACGCTGATTCCAAAAATATGGCATGTCGATGGTCACGAAGCAACATTTTCGTAAAAATGGCTGCGAAATGTGAATTTTTGAAAACTTCAAAAATATCGAAATTTCAACGGTCGATTCTGGAAAAACAGTTGCAGGTATCAAAAAACCGAAGACGGATTTGAGTTCTGGAGCTCGAAATCTACAAGAAAATGCGTTTAGTTGAGTTTCGAAAATGTCAAAATTTTTGCGAAATTTGAAGAAGGCGGGGACCATTAAAAAATTTCAATTTTAAGAAAGTTGCCTAAAAATTATGAAAAAATTCGGGGACGTAGATCTCGACACGCTGATTCCAAAAATATATCATGTTGATGGTCACGAAGCAACATTTTCGAAAAAATCGCTGCGAAATGCGAAATTTTGAAAATTTCAAAAATTTCGAAATTTCACCTGTCCATTCTGGAAAAACGGTTGCAGGTATCAAAAAACCGAAGACGGATTTGAGTTCTGGAGCTCGAAATCTACAAGAAAATGTGTTTAGTTAAGTTTCGAAATTGTCAACGTTTTTGCGAAATTTGAAGAAGGGGATTAAGATTAAAAAATTCCAATTTTAAAACAGTTGTCTAAAAATTATAAAAAAAATTCAGGGACGTAGATCTCGACACGCTGATTCCAAAAATATAGCATGTTGATGGTCAGGAAGCAGCGTTTTCGAAAAAATCTCTGCGAATTGCGAATTTTTGAAAATTTAAAAAATTTCGAAATTTTAGCAATTTTTATCTTGATGTCCTCACTTGAAAAATTATTTTTTTTTTAAATCCTAAAATTTGGAATATTTCATTCTGGAAAAATGGCAGCAAATTTCGAATGAAAACGAAAATAAAACCTACAAATCGAAATACATATATAAGAAAGCATCGTTTGGTAATTTTTGAAAACGGTTGAAGACGTATTAAAAATTTCGTAATTGTAAATGGAGTGTTAAAAATTTGAGCTTTTGGAAAGATTTCCTAAAAATCAGCAAAAAATTCTGGGACATAGATTTTGAGTTTTTCATTTCAAAAATATAGTGTTTTTATAATCCCCGACCACGTTTTTTAAAATATTCTCTTTGATATAAAAATTTTTAAAAATCCTCAAAAAGTCAAACTGATTTAGGCGATTTTGAAAAATTGGTAGCAATTTTAAGAAATGAAGTCAAAAATAAGTTCTGGATGTCGAAATCACCAAAAATATTGCTTGAGGTAATTTTCGATCGTGGGCTAAATCAGGCCAATATTTCTTAAATGTGGAGTAGTCGTAAACAGGTCGAAAATTTCGTTAATGGAGCGAATGTGAAAATTGGAGCTCTTGGGAAAAGTCTTCAAATATCAATAAAAAAATTCTAGAATGTAGATTGCGACGCGTTTATTTCAAAAATATAGTGTGTTTAGTCCCCGACCACGTTTTTAGAAATATTCACTTTGAAATTCAAATTTTATTAAAATCCCGAAAATCTCATTTGGACGATCCTGGAAAAAGGGTAATAATTTGTGGAAGTAGAAATCTATAACAAATTTCTAGATAATTTTTTAAGCCGATCGAAAATACGTCTAAAATTTCGTAAATTTGTATAATGTTGAAAATTTAAAATTCTGGAAAAAATGCGTAAAAATCAACTAAAAATTCATCTCGACGTTTTCAATTGAAAAACAATGTGTTTATCATTCCAGAGCATGATTTTCGAAATATACGCCTTGAAGTTCAAACGTTTTAAAAATCCTGAAAATTTGCCACATTTTATTTGAGCGATTCTGGAAAATGTCCACAATTTTAGAAAAAATGAAGCTGAAATAACTTCTGGATGTCAAAATCTACAAAAAAGATCAATTTAGGTAATCTTCGAAAATGGTCAAAAATCGAAAATTTAGAAGGAAATATTGGAAAATTGAGCTTTCGGAAGTGTTGCTAAAAAATCGACAAAAATGTTCCGAATGACTTTGATAAAAACTTTTAAAAATCCCAAGAAGATATCATACTTTGATTACGCGATTCTGAAAATATGGTAGGAATTTTCGAAGAAATAAAGCCAAAAAAAAAACTTTTGCCACATCGTGATATCCTGTTTAAGCCAAAAAGAAACATTGATGTTACATCTGTGAAAAAATGTTGAAGGTAATATTAAAAACAATAACCAAATTTTGCCAACCCAAACCGCCGCCTCTGCCTCCCAAGCTGATACCGACTAGCGGAAATCTCTAAGCGGTTTCTCGAGAGCAGGGGATATGGAAATGTCGCACAAAAATAATTGGTTCGTGTGTATACAAGGTGCTTGCACTTCTCAGCTGAATATATTTAGCCTCAACTCGCACACATCTGCCGCCTTCGAACGGTTACAAAATTAAACAAATTGTCGAAAAAATAAAAAAGTGAATTTTTCTAGTTGG